CCTCATCAAACTGCGGTTCCAATTCTGCAACTGCTTTTTCTGATGGGAGCACAACCTATCAAAAGTACGATTAGTGATGTCACCTGGGATGAACTCCTCAAGCATATACTATTAAACAAGTATTAGTGGTTGGTTAATTTGCAAACTTATAATTCGTCTTTTTACTTGACATAGAACAATTCTTTTAATAATTCAAATGGCAAAGAAACTGACTACAAGGTCTTCTGCAGCGGTAGTCTTTAGGATCTCAACCACGGAAGCACCATTTAAGCTTTTAGAGATCTCCGATATGTCTGCAGAATTAAATCCAGTAACCGGGACGACTGGGAAATCTAATTCAATAAAGTAGTCCTCTTGAGCATTATCTCCATTTTGAAGCTCAATAGATTCCGAGGCCCTGGATTTTGAGATTCGCCTGGCTGTTAAAATCCCTGACAGAGTCAGGAACTCGATTCTAAGAGAATTCACTAGACCATATGTAAATAGAGTCTGTGAGGCTGCTAAAGTTGCATGTCCGCAGAGTTGCACCTGCAAGCAGAAGTCATATCGAAGAGTGAATTCATCGTTCAAACATCTGACACTTACTGATACATAGCTATATAAAAAGGCCACAAAAAATGACCGAAATCATAAAAGCATCAGTGTCTATTGATCAACAATGGCCATTATATGCGTACCAAAGATACATTTAGTTATTCAAAAGATGGAGTTGAACGTTTTACTGTATTATCCAACAATCAAGATTCTGCTGGAATAGAAATTAGTACCACAAGTGGAATCTCAGGCACAGAGCTTCATCATCATAAACTTCTGAAGTCGGGCAAAAGGTGAAGAAAAATAATCAACTTTATTACACGATGAAGTTTCTTAGCGGTGTATAATTTTGACTGCATACCTAAACCCAAACTAATTGTGGCAAAAAAGGAGGGAGGGAAAATAACTATAGATGCCAAAATTCAAAAGAGAAGTCCAAATTAAGCATATTTATCAATTAAATATCCAACGCAAGCCAGCGCATTTCACAAATTTAGCTTTGAAAAAAAAAAGGATAATTTCAGAAACCTCTCATGATGTTTTTGACAATTTCACTGAACTCTCATGAGATTTAAAAAATTACATATACCTCCCTTAATTTGATATTTTTAGTAACAAAATCTTAAAATAATATTGACTTGATCAAATTTTTAAATGAATATCCAAAAATGTCCTTGTGTAATAAGTTTTAATTTACTTTCCTATAGAATTATAAGATTATCTAATGTAATTATAAAGAAAATGCATAAATTTTTCATGTTCATACGTATTATTTGATAAACAACTATAATAATAATTTTATCACTATGATAGGATACTTTTGACGATAATTTATTATGGATTTAGATTTATAAGATGTTGAAATAATTGATTCAAAATTTATAATTTTTTTGAATAGTGAGATTATCATAATTTAGTAGTGATTTTGGATAATTTTTTTTTATTTATTGTTAATTTTAATACCAAAAAATAGAAAACAAAAATTAGCAAAAAACATCAAATTATATATAAAGTTACTTATTAAAAAAAATCATTAATTCGATATTTGATTATAATAGAAAGTTAGAAACTAGAGATAATGATGGTAATTTTACAATTTTATTAGCAAAAAATTAAAATGAAAAGGAATAAGAAGTAAAAAATAATGAAAAAATAATTTTAAAGTCATTCTAACTATAAGCATACCAAACAATGAAATTTTATTAAAATATTTAATGATAGTATTGTCATTATAAATGATAAGGGAGGTATATATAATGTTTTAAATTTTAGGGGAGCTCAGTAAAATTGTCAGAAATTTTAGGGTAGGTTTCTGAAATTATCCCAAAAAAGAAAAGAAAGAAGAAGAAAAATGTGGTTGGTGCAGCGCAGGCGGGACAGACCTCAGCTACTGGAGTGAACCATCGAATTCCAAACCTGGGAGATGCTGATTGTAACTCGTCGGTGCCGTCAATCGGAGTGAGAAAAGCTGTGGTTGACATATTCAGCTCCCCAGCAACAGCTTGCAGCCATTCCTTATCTCTATTGTCCTCCTCCAACCAACACACCCCCGCCGGATTCCCCTTGAATGCCTTGTCCGTGAAGGCGTCCACCTGAAGTTTCGCACAAGACTCTGATTAAATTTTAGTTTTAGACAGCAATCTCATCTCATATATACTCGTTGCCAGCGACAAGTAAATTCTAAGTCTCACCACTAGTAGGAATGACATAACAAATTGTTTACCACAAAGTATTTAACGGGCTTTTTGACCATCCTGCAAACGAGCAAAAAAAAAAAGAAGAAGACTTCTTTCTTGCTCTGTCGTGCGCTGGAGATACCACTCTACTGCTTTCCGGAGTATCTGAGACGGCAAACCACTGAGAAAGTGAGAATTGGGGCAGGCTAAAGCTTTATGCCGGAGAAGGAACCCAAAAAAAAAAAAAAGGAGGGCCAAAACTGACAAACTTTCTGTTTTTAGCGGTACAAGAACGTACACGAATGTTTGACTTTGTTATACCAATAATAGTATTTAGCAATCTTTGTTTCATACTTTGATCTCTTGCCCCCACCTGATTAGCTCGATTGGCCACGGTAACCCTTCAGGATACGTTGTCCATTTCCATCAGGTTCAAATTCCAAGGTTAACGTGATTCAAGAGGGAGATTAATCGGGTCCGACTTATCCGAACCCGGATACCCTGTGTCGGAAAAAAAAAGTCAAATCAAAGGTCGTGACACCTATTGCCAAGTTTGCACCTGCTCTACTCAGAATATTCTTAAAAAAGGGGCAAAAATGCATCCTTTTGACAAGGGCAATTGTTTACATTTTACTGTTGGGGCCCTTTTCATCCTTTGCTTAGCCAACTCAAGTCAAACCCTGCCAATTGAAATGTTCGTTTACCTCCTATGCTTTTAGGCTGTCTCAACTCTCAATCCTCAACGTAAAAAGATAAACACTACTATCTATCTTTGATACGACTTAAATCAATACTCCAGCTTGTTTTCTAAAATGTCCAAGAGGAATCAAGAAATCAGCGTATCTAGTCGCAAAAACAGAACTACTTTCCTTTAGATAATGCATGGAGAAGTCTGTCATTAGTCTTCTCTTCTTCCTTTTTCTTTTCCAGAAAGATGCCAAGGGCTTGTTTCCTCCAACTTTAAATGAGGGATAAATTTTGAAGCGCCAATTAATCTTATACTTTCCTCATGCAAAGTTCAAAGATTACAAAAACAAAATGCAGACCAAAGAGTTAGAATAATACTGAAATATTTGACTGCAGAAATTAAATCAACGAGAAAGTTGCATCGTACTAGAAAATTCAAATACAAATAATAATATGTAATAATGAGTCTCCCTAACAAACATAGATGAATAGATGTATTGAGTTGCCACTATGACTATAACTCAAGCCATCAGTACCGTCGCGACAAAAGCAACCAGTACTGAGACCACCGATATCGAAACCACCCCATCAGCTGATGAAATTGTTGGTCCTGAATTCGAAAGTGGAGATGGGGCTGGAGAGATTCCAGGAAATGACTGAGGTGGACGGGCAATGGCTGGAGGAGAATGTGATCTGGGGTGCAGGGGAAAGACGTCGATCAGCAGCCGCTGGCCTTCTTTACAGTGATGGTGATCTCCGCTGATGAAGTACATAGGGCCTGGTTGATCCAGAGTAACCAAGGTATTGTTCCCGTCAGTGTAGGCGGTGATTGGGCTGCTTGTGTTGCAGTGATAGAATCCCCATTTATCCACCACCACCACCGAATCATTCGTATACTCGAAACCTGGTATAAAACACAACCTTGTCCACATCAACAACTACTACGTTACCATTTCAAGCATACAAGATTGAATATTATAACCCCTTGATTTAAGAGATCTTTTTTTTTTTTTTTTTTGTCTTGTAATGAATGAGTGCTAAATCCTTATGTTATGCACTTCCAACTTCTGACTTCTTCTGCCCTTTTCTTTCTACTCAAGTTCTTGTAATTAGAAAGGAAAAAACTTCATCACTGAGTACGGTTCAAGATTGCCACCGCAGAAACATAAGAATGCAAGTTACTCCCTCAACAAAACCCAACAAAAAAAAAAAACTTTGCATTAGCCTTGTGTCATGCTGTGGTTTTAAAATCATGCAACATAAAGCTAGTTTAGGAGAGAAATGAGTACGAAAACTCACGAAGAGAATCTCCAACGTGGAATCTCCTTCTGGAGGCCCATAGATTATACATATCAGTTTCGTTCAATGTGGGCTGTCGCCAGCCTAAAGCATCACCCACTTTGAATTCCTCGGCAGCCACGACCATGGTAGGAGTAGCACTGAAGAATATCACTGGAATGACTAATGCACAAACACAGCAGAGAACTGAACGAGGTGCCATTTTGATGTTTTTTTTTAGCAGTACTACTTGTTAATGCTGTTGTTACTGAAAACGAAGGTTCTTCTCGAGAGGAAATATGAAAAGCTTCAAGAAGTTGTAGGTAGGCAGATGGGGGTGGTGTTCCCTGATATATAAAGTTGCAGTTTTTGAAGAGCAAAAGGGCGGAATTGAAAGTAGTGGTACAGTAGTTACAAGGTGAACGTGGAGGGAGTTGCTGTGTTTGGCGCTTCAACTACTCAAGCAAGACGTAAAATCCAGGAGTGGAGGAGGTCGTGGGGGTAATTAGAGGTAGTTGTCTGTTGTCTTTTTCACTTGATCATCAGTAATATACACATGTTTTCCTCTTAAATTTTCAAAACTTGCTCACGGGAAAAAACAAAAAAAAAATTAGTCTCAGTGAATAAAAGCAAACACAACAGATTTTGGATCCTATTATATGGGTAACTTTACTAAGAAGTATCTTATTCATTGATAAAAGTACAAAAACTATAGTATGAGAATAAGGAAAATGATGGTTAAACCGAAACAAAGGAGACATTGGCCCCAGTTCAAGCTAGGTCATACGAGGGAGAGGTGACATTGCCCAAGTGCAAGAAAAACGCAGAAATCGAAATCCAACTCGACTTTACATATATATATATATATAGTCACTTCAAAAGATCTTGATGTAAAATTATCCATGGAGACTAATGCTCAACTTATAGTACCACTTACGGAACTTAATCCAAAAATCATAACAGCATATAGTGAACTCTCCGCCACCCTCTTCGCAGTAACAAAATTTCCGAACGAATTACCAAACCCCGGCATTCATTTGGGGGCACACCTACGAGCTAATAATCGACAACATATAAAGAAGGGCCTCTTCGTTCATCCCTCCTGGGCTCTCTCTTTCAAAATTCTGGGAACTCAGAACAATTAGTTAGCCAGCCCAGCTGCAGGCTGATATAGCATGTCCTCAGCGTCCAACATTTTACAGGGATACACGGAGAGACCATCACCATGCCCCAGCCTGGATGCTGCAATCGTCTGGTTCATTCATCTATAATTTGCATAGTTCGTCTGAAAGCTCAGCAGGCAACTGCTTATACACTGTGTCTGCTCTTCTGATTCTGAAAGGAAAAAAAAAACGAATTACCGTTAGGATAGATAAAAAAGAGGACAGCAAAAGAGAGGAATGCTCAAAATCTCAAACCAATTATACTAGTTTGGGAGAATAGATAGAGATGCTGAAAACGTGTAAGAACCTTATAGATCCTCTCAAAAAACTATGATCAAGAACTTCTAAGAGATGCTTCTTGCTGGTCAGTTATCAGGTCTTGAAACTCTGAACGTTTGGTGGACCTGATATCTATTATGCTTGGGGGCATTTGTTGGAGAAACCCGTGTGATTCAACTAAGTCAAAGAATTCTTGCTTGGTCAGGCTTTTCTTCTCAACAAGAGAATCAACCACCACATCCATGAGGTTTTTGTTGCGCTGGAGGATCTGCGTGAAATATTACAAGTACAAACATTCAGTAAATATCATTTTCCCTTTTGCTTCTGATAAAATATTTCATCTCATCATGTACAGCCACCTCTTTAGCACGTTCATAGCACATATTTACAATCCCCAGAGCCTCTAAATCAATGTCCTGAAAAAAGAGATTTACGTTGTCCATGTCAGCAGCTTGACGAGCATATTTATGCTAGAGAAAGTAGCCCCCAAGAGGAAAAAACGAAAAAAAGGGTAATAAGAAGGCAGTGTGCAATTTCTGCATTTTCAGTAATCTCACATATAACTCAAAAGTCAATTAAAGCTTTAAACTGCAAAGGCATGAACTAGTCATATGCGTAATTCTAACCACAAGATGATTCCTCTCTTTTTAGTGACTGAGAAAATTGACAATCTAAAGGGAAAAATTGAAAACCGCAAAAAGGCAATTCTCAAGTTAAAGCGAAAAATTGAAATCAACAAAAGAGATGGAAGCTTCAGCAAGTCCCCCTGAAAAAATAAAATAAAAAATAAAAAAGATCAATGAGGATGGCAGAGTGAGGCTTTACATTCAAACGATCAGCAACCCAGAAGTCATTCAGACCATAATGTTTCTCCGAGAGACCACCAATAACAAGTGTTCGCGCAGCTGACCTAGCATTGTCTGCAGTTTCCGCCCATATCGTGCTCAACTGGAATTTTATCGCACAGAAGTAGCAAGTTACTAAAAATACAGTTAAAACACAAATGCAAGAATTTTTAATTCACTGTAATTGGGATTGTTAGTTTAAACTAAGAGCCATAAATGGCTATCATTTTCTCCTCTGAAAGCCAGTTAAATAAGATGTTGTGAGCACCACCAAGTCCCACAAAACATTATTTGACCCACTCTATAAGCCAAAAGCACCAAAATCAGATCCATAATGATGGGATTCGTTAGTAGGAGCACGTGCATTTTAGTTGCAAATGAATTAATAGCAAAAATCTTCCCTCAGATCAATATACAAATCTGCGTTCATGCAATAAAGCAAATGTGCATTATAGGGAAAGCATTGATGGAAGATGCATAGTAGGATATTACGAGAGAAATTCGATTTTTGAGTAAAGTTACATTCATTTGGCTGTTGCTTCTCAGCTGATCGCTCTAGCAATATCCCAAGGCCACATAAGTTATCAAGTTCAGTAAGGCCAGTACAAGTTTTAATTATTAAAGTTCTAGCCAATAATCAGAATGCAGTTTGAGTTTCTAAATGCTTATAGGAATCATGATAAATACTCAGGAAAGTCTCTGCATGTTTGCTTCTGCAGCCAACGATTAAAGTCCTTCATGAGAATATGAATTCTAAAGGAGTCCTTACAATGAAAGGTCTTACAACAGGCAGTAACACATAAAGGCATCACCAAGGCATTCAAAGTTCACCCAACTAATTTGATCTGAGACTTAAAACTGATACCGTTAATGCCAATAATTGAATGTCTGTTCCTTAGGAAAGTACGATCTAAAGTTCTTTTACCTGGCCCTCTCCATACCACAACTCATCAGCTGCACGTGGTGCTAGTTGAACAGTGATATGATCTAAGAGAGATTGGCGGCTGCAAGAAATTCAGACATGAAGAGTTAAATGAACAATCATGTATAATTATTGAGAAGTCAAAGAAATTACCACAATTTCTGTGCCTATATTTCTGTGAGGGCCAATATCCGGTTTTAAGATGTAAACAGTAGGAAGCATCAGCACTACTTAGTCAATCTTTGGAAGTTTGCTATAATACTCACAGATATGAATAACTCTCCAATAATTAAAACTGATGTTGCAATTTTTTTATTCACAGATTTTTTATGCAGGAAGCTCCACTGATGGTAAAAGCAGTCATACCTTAGCATTCCTTCCTTAAATTTAACATGATCCATCTTGAACCGAACATAACCTAGTTCCCTTCCAGCTCTTGGAGCAATGGTTACCTGCACAAAACAATAATAAATTTGCAAATCAATTCCCAACTCATTAAATGATGAAAATGAAAAGCAAATGAACAACCATTTGCAATAAGTCCAAGTAGGAAAATAATCAGCAATCAAATGCAAAAGAAAAATTTTCAACTATATCAAATGCAAACAAGAGGAATGTCGTAAATCAAACAAATATTATCATCAGCATGTTGATTTCAAGGGATATGTCTGCAGAAAGGAAACGGAAGTAGTATCAACAATGATTAAACCAGTAGGTAATAAAATACTTTGGGACCAGCACATAACTTCTTAACCACATCCAATGACTGCAAAAACTGACCATACAGAACTGCATTCCCAGTACATCAATTAAAGAAATAGCAATTCAGCTTCAATAAAATTTCAAAATGAAAGTTGGAATGAAAAACTTCACACAGAACACATATATAAACAATTACGGCTTGCAATTCTGTCATATTAGTCTGTTTTGAAAGAGATTAGGTGCCACTAAGAACCTGCATAGCTAAAAGTTGAATTCTACAGGCTTTCTTTGCCAATAAATCTGTCAAGTTAAATGAAACAGGATAAACATTCCCACTATTATTAGTAGATGTTTTAGATGTCCAATATGCACAGAAATTGGAACAGTGCTTATTGTTATAAACGAAAAGTCTAACCAAAACAATGTGAGACAGTTTCTTGGCATCACAAGGCAAGACTGATAGGTGTTACAAGCAGATTTTCACATTTCAGCAGCCAACAAAGTCCTAAATAACTAATCAATAAAAGAAACACTAAAAGTAGTCAATATCAACTGTCATATTTTTCGTGCAAGTATCTTGGTATTAATATGCTTCATTATCATGAGTAATAGAATAAGATTGTCAACTGTGTTAAACAATCAACCTAAAAGCATAAGTTTGATATAGAAAATAAGAAACTCGTTACAAGTTTCATTATCCATGAATTATCACCAAAGTAGGGAACAAAGGACTCAGTTGTACAACTAGCAAAACAGGTAATCGCAAGTTCATCATTCTATACTATGAGGTAGAGATCATACAAATTCAATATTCTTGAGGTCAGGGAAGTTCACTGCTACTACAGCCATTGCTGCTTCATTAATAGCAACTTGCTTCCACATCTCAGGGCTCCTCTCTTTTCTATCTAGCATACCTCTTTCTTCCATTTGTGCAGCTTGCAACAAATCATCAGTTGTTATCTGCAGAAATGCAGAGATCTTAGGGGTATCCACTAGACACAATCAACTGATTCATGAAAGTGAAGGCTCTTTCTAAACCAGAAGCATCCATGAAAAGATTTTGCTTCCACACCAACCCCCCCCCCCCACAAAAAAAAAAGATTAAAAGAATTAGTGGAAAAATCAAGGACATGACATGGAAAGTATTTTATGAAGACAGGTACAAGATTGTCAAGCTACTTTGCTTTTGTGGGCAATATAATACCTCAGTTCTTCCATCACGCATCATATTGATAGCAGCAACCTCAATAATGTTGGCTAGCTCTGCACCAACCATGCCATCAGTCATACTTGCAACAGCCATGTAGTCAACGTCTGGAGCCATAGGCTTCTTACGAGCATGGACCTAAGACAACAGATACAAGAAAGAATATTACTCATATTTAGTCCATTTCAAGACATTACAGAAAAATAAATTTCACATTCTGAATTACAGTTTGGAATTACAAATCTAAATTATAACAGGGATGAATCACACCTGCAGAATTTCAATCCGACCTATCAATCCAGGCTTAGGGATATATATTTTCCGATCAAATCGTCCAGGTCTTACAAGTGCTGGATCCAAGATATCTGGTCTATTTGTGGAAGCAATAGTGATCACTTCACCTTTACCTTCAAATCCATCTAGACAGACAAGAAGCTGAAATATAACAATACCATAGCATTTCAAAATGGAGAGATATACCAATATGTGAAATAGAATACAAGTGCAGTATGTTAAAGAAACCTGATTCAAAGTAGCATCACGTTCTTGTCCACCAGAACCCTTAATCAAACCACGCTCCCTCCCCACAGCATCCAGCTCATCAATGAAGACAACAGATGGAGCCTATGCAAACAAATTGTATGTTCTCAGGTAGAATAAACTGATAAACTTCCGCTTTATTTAATGGTTGTTAGTAATGATTATGAGGGGATTCACATGCAAGCAGAATTTAATTAGAGGAAGCACATTTTTAAGAACAACAGCTGTGGAAAACAACAATAACCCTTGCTTTTATTGTAAAACAGACAGCAGAAGAAGGAAAAGAAAAAGACAACGAAGGCAAAGTTAACGCAATAGATCAGATTGTAAATATGACTACAACCAAAATGCACTATGGCACATAGCTCCAAGGAAAAAACATGAAAAGTTTGTGTGGGTAATGAAAACACACTGAATTATAGCTTACATTCTCCCTTGCTTCTTGGTAGAGTGCTCGAACACGGGAAGCACCAACACCAACATAAATTTCTACAAACTGAGAAGCAGATATAGAAAAGAAGTTTACACCTGCCTCGCCAGCCACAGCTTTTGCTAATAAAGTTTTCCCGACCCCAGGTGGACCACAAAGAAGTATGCCCCCTGGAAGCATTTTAAGACAGAAAGCCCAGTGAACATTATCAGAGTACTATGCCAAAAGAATAACCTACACCCATCATGTTGAATCATGACAGAGCGGGAGTTAAGATGTGATCTTGCCGTGTACAATGAAATCTTTATTATAGCCAACCAACAGTCTAAGTAATTGCCTAAGATTGTGGTCACATGTAAAGAAAACAAGTTCACACATCACAAGCATACACAGTGCTTAAAGTTGAAGTAAAGGCGAACCATATGATAAATCAGACAAAGAAAATTGTAATATCATTCAACTGTAAAAAGGCATAGTTAGCCATTATAGGTGAGTGAGTAAGAACTACAGTTAGAAACATATAACCATACTTGTGAGAGAGGACAAAAACAAAAAACTTTTGCTGCACATATTGATGCAAAGAAAGAACAAAGAACAAAGAATAAAGAAAAAAAAAAGACTCTGCAGCGGCGGAAATGACCTACGTGTCAGCACATAAAGCGTATGAAGGAGAAAAAGATATTTTAAGCGAGTTTGTGTCAGCCTAAAATGATTCCCAGACCCCCTTAGCAATATCGAAAACACTCTAAGAAAGGTATAATTTGATATTCCAGCACATTGCTTGAAAGTCACAACACCTTGGCCCCAACACAGAGGTTCGTCATTAGTAAGAAATAATTGATAATCTTGTCCTTACACGACAACTGAAATAGCCAGAGAAAATTCATGGAACAAAAGATCAAAACTTCTAAGTAGGAGATCTCAGAATAGATAAACAGCAAACAGTACCGGTTTTGATGCTTTTTAATGAAACAAAAAAAAAAGTAGTTTTGTTCAAGACAAAGTAAATAGAAACATTAGAAAAGAAAAGGCATGCTAAAAACTAACCAGGTATTCTAACTCCTCTTCTGCGATACATTTCCCCATGGGTAAAAAATTTGACAACCTCCTCAAGCTCTTCTCTGATTTTTCCAAGCCCTGCAACATCTGAGAACTTCACATCCACGCCTCTCTCCAAGTATTGCAGGAGTCTCTTACTTTTGGCTCTCCGTACGCGAGCACCAGATTTCATGAATTGCATTGCCATCTTCATGTATGGGTTTTCCTCTCCTTTCCCGCCTGCCTCTTCATCATCCTCAACCTCCCTGCCCTCCATTTCCCTCTCTAGCTCCCTCATCTTCTTCTTCTCTTCGGCCTCTGCTTTCTCTATCTTCAGCCTATCTTCATAATCTTTCTGCCCCCTTCTAAAACTAAGAACAACAGTAACGTAAAATATGAAGAAAAAGAACAAGCCAAGAAAATTGACAACATTAGGATCACTAGCTAAATTGTCCCAAAACCTCGACCTATCTTGAGCACTCCTCTGTGCTTGTAGCAATGATTCCTGGAACTTAATTCTCTTCATCTCCTTCCTCTTCCTCCTCTCTTCCATTTTCTTCTCCATCCTAGCCGCTTTCTCAATCATCTCCCTCTCTTTTCTCATCTTTGCCAACTCCTCATTCTGCCTCTTCTTCATCTCCTCCCTCATCCTCTTCAACTCCAATGCCTTCTTTGACTGTGGCTTCACCTTCACCAATGAAAACATCCACGATGGAATCTTCCCCAAAAGTCCCAAATAAGGCGAAGGGATATCAGGCTTTCTCAAAGGGGGAGTAAAAGCATTCATACAAACAGTATCAAGTTTCAACTCATCCCACTCTGCCCAAAATTTCGGGTCACCATCAACAGAAGGCAAGACTATCCTAACAACCTTATTATCCTCCAAAACAGCCAAAACCACCTCAGGTCGTTCCTTAAACCCAACATTAGGGGGTTTAATAATATGCTTAAGTTTATCACCTCTTCTCAAATCAATAATCTCTGAATAGGGCAACCTCTGGGTCACCGCAGGAAGCCCTTGTGACCATTTTTTCAGTTCTTGAGGACTTAAAGCCTCAGATTTTTTCCCAGCACGCTTCTTTGCAGATACTTTAGCAGCTAATGAGGGTTGGGGAAGTGCAGCTGAAATTACAGTAGAAGTTACTGCAAGTTTGAGCAATAATAAATGGGATTTCCTAAACCTTGATTCCGACTCAGACTCTGATTCTGATTCTACTTCTTCATCGGCTTTGGGGTTTTTAGCCTTGTGGCATGAAATTACCACACTTGGGATCAATTTATGGTGCTTTGAGCGGACTGGTGTTTTATATTGTGAAAAAGATAAAGATGGCGAAAATGAAGAAGGAGAAGAAAAAGTGCAAGTACAGACCATTGCTAAAATTTTTTATAGTAACAATGGAGAAAAAAAGGGGAAAAAGGCAAAGAGAGTTACATTGTTCGGATTATGGAGTAGTGGTCCAGCTGAAAGATCCGCCATCAAAATTGTAGCAATCCATAAAGCTGATGAAATACAAAAATGGTCTCAACTGCAGCTCGTTACTTCAGTTTACACGGGCAAAGTCTGACTTGGAATTGAAACATTCGCCGCTTCTCGTTCAATTGTTCAATTAGATTCTGATAAAGATAGCAAGAAATTTTGCCTTTTTTCCCTTACATTCGCATATACCAGCTCTAAGTTTGAGCCGGGCCATTCGGTGGCCTGGACTCCCTGATGCGGGCCTTGGGTGAAGAGAATACAAGATAGTACTCTGACATAGGTTAGATGAATTCTTCTGTTTTAGCTTCCAGTGAGTAACTCATTCTACCCGGAGAGGCCCAAAGAGCTGCCAGAAGCTGGCAAGGGTCCAAGATCACAATATTTGCTTTATACCACTAGGCAGGCAATTCAAGGTCAGTAGAACTTTTAAAACTATTATTCTCAAAAATAATTTTACTTCAAATTAATATTATTTATTTTCTAAAACAAAGAAATAGAATTAAAATTATTCTAAATCATGTATGATTTTTAAAAACCATAATTAAATAATTTTCAAAATCAAATTCAAGATTGAACTCAATGTTGGACTCAGCTCGTTTAATTTAACAAGCTGTGCTCGAATTTGAACTCAAATATCTATACAAATTAATGAATCGAATTCTATCAACATTTATAGCTCACCTAGTACTCGATCAAACTCAAATTTTATTTGTACAATTTACGAATAGAATATGAATATCAAGTATTCGATTCAATTTAACTTGTTAAAGTTTTAATTACGAGTATAATATCAAAATACCTAAAATTGATGTGCTTGCAACTTTAGATTTCATAGTTTACATTTACCCTCTATAATTGGGTAGGTTTATTATGTACAAGTTCTACGGGGTATAATTGAGTTGAGTTGAGTTCGAATATATATACTGTTTGAACTCTGACTGGAATTAAAATACTTGAACTCGAATTATATACATGTGTATGTGTTTAAAATTCAGTTAAGCTTGCCTCCTAATAGGGTATTAGAGCTGCTCAGTCTTGGTTCGAGGTCAATCAACATGCACTTTAACTCTAACCGAGCATACTTGCAATTCATTTGCATCCCTGGGTACAATTGTACTCTTTTTTAATGGATTCTCTTTCTTTTTTTTACAATGCACAACAGGGGATTTATGATATGTGTTTTTATTTGTTATAAAGGGATATAATCATTTTAAATTTAAATAACCCTAATCATTATTAATAAAATGAGGACACGTACCGTATATTGAAGTGTGCACTACAAAAAAATAGAAAGAAAATTCAATGGAGATCAGCCAAGTCCCGCTCCACATGCCATATGCGACAAAGCTGTATTTGCAAATTTCCGGCAAATATTATTTGGAATAATTACTGTAGCACTTTTTGTGATGTGATGTATATGAGATAAAAAGTTGATTGGGAATATAAAAAGGTGGATTGGGAAATGTGTTTATGATGCAAGCGAAATATTATTTGGAATAATGTGTGTATCCAAACACTCCCAATGGTTTTTCTTCTCATTTCTTTCTACTTGTCGGCTAAAGCAGAAAAGGAATAATTAGCACTGCTAATTGAATTGTATGATTTAAAAATTAAAAGAAACGCATCCATCATGACATGAATGTTAGGTTTAAACAGCAATTACTCAACTACTTTTTCCGTTTAATTTGTTTTCGGGGGTATTAAATATTAAGCCCTTAATCCCCTATTACTTCTCTACAGTCTACTCTAGTCCAGTATGCCGTTGAATCAGGAGTCACGGGCACTCTCTGCAGTGGATTTTGACTCCATTGACCGACACCTCCTTAAGACACGTGTATCATTTCGTACACCTCCCAAGTGCCCCCCAGACCCCACCACTTACCCGCTTTCCTTCATTTCTAAAGCCCCTTCACACTCCTTAGAAGTTAGAACTACTTTCCTTCTCCAACCCTCTTTTCACCTGTGGTGATACAACCAAGAAAACCCAAGAAAGAGAAAAAAATTACAAGAACAACGATGAACGGAGCTAAGAACGCAGGGGAGGCGGTGAACATTCAGCTGCCGGAGATGAAAGTAGCAGCAGAGATGGGGACAATGAGCGGCCCATTGGTAGCCCCGAGGCCCAGCCGGAGCGTTCATGGCAAAATGGACATCGCCCACGTGGTTTTACGCCTGGCGTGCCTTTTAACTTCAGTCACGGCACTGTCACTGATGGCCACTGCTAAACAAGCTTCCACCCTCTCCCTTTATGGTTTTAACGTCCCTGTCCGCTCCAACTGGTCCTTCTCTGACTCTTTCGAGTAAGCTACCCTTTCTGCCCTGAAATCTGCTTTCTTTCACTACTACAGTGTGATTTATATCCTTTTCCCTTTTGGGTTCAAGAATCTAGTCCGCTGGTCTTACATTTCGTGATCTTGCATTTTCAAATTTTTTTAAGAAATCCTTTTTTCACGGGCAAGATAGTGGGATCTTGTCATGTTAACTTTTCAAGGAAATTTTCTGTTCTTATAATGTGCATGCATGATCATCTAACCAATTGTTACTCAAAATTTTGTTCAACTAATTTGATTCTTCAGTCCACTAGGATTGAAATTCAGTAAAATTGTGAGGCTGTCTATCTAAGTTTGAATTGTACAAATGCTGAAGATCATGAAATTGCAGCTACTTCTTCGGAAGCCACCTGAGTTTGAATAGTTATGTACTTGTGGTGAGTGGAGACAAATTCTTGAAACGGTCGCTTTCCTAAGTCGCTTTCCTAAGTTCAAGGACATTTACACATAGCACTACTATTATTTACGGAAACAAGCTCCCGTGATAGTTTTCTGGACATGAGCGTCCAAAATCGTCCTCATGTGTTGCCTTATTTCTGGATTTATAAGTAAGCTATGTCTGCGTGTATATTTTTTTATTTTCAATTAGTCTCTACGTATCGTTTTTCCTCGTCTTCTGTATTATCATTAGTATTTTAATGCGATTTACCTGCTTGAGAGTTTTAATCAGTCACTTTGGCTTGTTTTCCTTTCCTTGTGTCCACGAGCAAAGATCTTTAAAATTCAAAAATAAAAGGAAGGCGTCGGCAGTGAGTGGCGAAGTAATTGCCTTGAACCTGACATTTGAAATTCAAAAATGTATGTTTTGTTCTAATTAATGTGTTCTTATTGCCTGAAAAGCCTGCATGAAGTTGATACGTTTGTATTGTGTCATTTAATCGTGATTAAAAGTCTTGAAATGCTCCATGAATCATAAACTGGTTGAGTAACGGGAATGGATGGAGATCAGGTACCTGGTTGGAGTTTCGGCAGCTGTTGCAGTTCATTCCTTGCTTCAACTGCTTATTAGTGGATCAAGATCTCTACGAAAATCGCCAGCCATTCCTTCTCGAAATCATGCTTGGCTTATTTTCGCTGGGGATCAGGTAATTGAGGGTGTACCAGTTGGAAAATTACGATCTAAGTGTTTTATTTCTTTGGTCAAGTCTGGTTTAACTCAATTCCTATCCTCCTTTCTTCATCATTATTCTGTTAAAATCTTGTGGCTAAGTTCTTTTTTGATGACTTGACCAATCAGACTTTGAAGAAGATAATATGATACTCCTTCTAACTGCTACGCTTCTAATGGGTTGCCTTTCCTTGCCAAGCCCACAGTTTGTGCATCGCAGCTCAAAAGTCAAAAGTGGTTTATTGTCACATCAATCAAGTGATCATTTCTAGGATCGATCCTAGAAATGAATCCTAAAGAAGTAAAAAGAGAATACTGAGAATAAATTTGGGAAATCAAGTGATCATTTCATACTCTTAAATACCACTGAACTAATCTTTTTGGTTTACTGAGGAGTGGACGGAAAATCGTTAGTGCTCCGTACATTTAGATACAAATTTGGGCAAGCTACCCAAGCTATTTGTCCTGCTTTCCTAGGTGTTCTGAAACTCAAACTTTTTATAACACTAAACTTCCGCAATCAGGCGATTCTTTTACAAATGCTATTTGGGAGTTGCAAACAGAATTCTGAAAGAATATTTTACTTCAACCTCTAAACTTTTTGTTTGCCATTAATAACTTATCACTGATGTTGGAACAGTTTTCTTGGCTTTAGAATCTTCCTGGTGTTTGTTGGTCATTTACTCTGGTCAATTATTGATGAGCAGCCCCCTTGATGTACAATGTCAGGGTGCGACTTTTCACTTTGCATTTTTTTTTTCATCTTTGGGGTTCAAATGCTTGCTTGACAATATTGTTTTCTATCCCTGTAAACGTAGTTTCTAACACGGACAGTGGAACATAGTAAATGTGCATGAACATAGTAACACGGACAGTGGAACATAGTTTACATCGAATATGCTCTGAAAAGTTTGAAATTAAGGCAAAAGAGATGCATGATAAGCAGGAATTAGTTCCTAGATCATCACTTTGTCTTTTTGTGGCTTGCTGATCTTGTACTAAACTTCTACCTAGCCTTAATCTTGTACTTGCAGGTCTTTGCATTTGCAATGCTGAGTGCTGGATCAGCTGCATCGGGAGTAACCAATCTGAATCGGACGGGGATCCGACATTCAGCTCTTCCAAATTTCTGCAAACCCTTGCATGCTTTCTGCGACCGTGTTGCAGCATCAATAGCCTTTGCATTCCTGAGTTCTTTATTCCTTGCCATTTCAACGGTTCTTGATGTCGTCTGGCTGACCAAGTACTAGAGCTTTCTATTCTTCCTGCATTGGCATGTAATTATAATGGCTCAAGGCATGTTCTGACTGATTCAGCGGATTCTGCAGTTCAAATCCATGCTCTTGAAATAAACGAAGACTGACTTTTGACAGCCTAATCTATGATCCATCTGAGAGATCATTAACATTTCTTCACTAAAGTATAGCTCAGAAGTCGGAATATCTTACGTGGGTTCCTTTTTTTTTTCCCTCCTAATAATAAACAAACTAGTAAAATCACATCTCGGTCCAGTTTGAATAACGCTAGGCGCCACAGAAGCATTCCAGCATTCTTATATGCTGATGAATGATCTTTTCGGAACCATGTATAATATATTGTATTCTGCTACAACTTTTGCACCGACAATAACAAGAAAACAAATGTTTCTCCCAAACCAGCCCAAATTACTGCTACTCAATATAAAGTAAAACTCAGAAAAAAAAAACG